GCTGCCGCAGCGCCTGGCGCCTGGCGCCCTGCTCGCCGAGGTCGCGTTTGCGGCGTACATCCCCGGCAGCCGTGCCGCGAGGGGCGGGGAGGGCGGCGACTTCTGCTTCATCTCGCACGGCTGCAGAAGGAATAGACAATAAAACAAGCAAACTAAAAAGATAGGCACTGAGAGTTGCAAGATTTCCAACCCACCCAAAAAGGTGGCTTAATAGGCGTGCGTGAGTGTGTAGAAGCGGCGAAGCGAGCCGCAGGCCGGAGACGACATGGAGGCAATAGACTGGAACTACCTCTCCGCCAACTGCGTCTGGCGGGACAACCTCATGAAGGAGCTGCTCAACACCGGGGTGGAGGTAGAGGCACCGGAGCTTAGGATATGGCGGGACATATATGATGACTCTGTGAGCCTTGAATCGTACTGGTACACGCTGCTCTCGCCCAAATTTCGCCAACCGGCGTTTCTAGCGATGCGCATAACACTCTTTGCGGCCTTACCGTTGTTGATCATTGGGGACAAATTTGCTGATCACTTTACGATGTCCAGGGTTCTCTGCCTCTACGGCATCGCCTACAGCCAGGAGACCCTGGGGGAGCAGATATGCATGCTGTGCACCGCATTCCAAGTGGTTGTCTGCATGACGGTATGGGGGCTACTGATGTACACGTTCAATGTGCTTAATCACGAGGTGGCGTGGTGGTGTGCCGTGTTTTTTGGATCCTTCTTCGTGGGTCTCTTCGGGGACCTGCGGTGTCGACGGCTGTCGATAGTGATGATGGTGATCATTATGGAGGTGCAACGCTCCCTGCCGAATCAAGGCGGGCCGTACCTGCCGTTCTACGTGGCTCGTGACGTCTGTTTTGCCTTGATGTTTTCGTTTGCTCAGGCCTTCCTGCCGCCGTTTACGATGTGCAAGCGCGTGGACGACGCGATGGCGGGGGCGTGGGTGTACATGGGAAGCATGGTGCAGAACTGCGTCAAGGGGTGCTGGGCAGAGAACCCCATTGACGCGGCGGCGGCGATTTCAAAGACTTCCTCGGAGCCGTTGCAGGCAATTTTTACAGTTTTGCCTCCGCAGCTGAACGTTGTGCGGTACGAGCCGTGGGTGTCGCCCCTGCTCTGGCAGCTGCGAAACGAGCGCATCAAGGTGATGGGTGGCCTCATGCCTATGCTGCACGCCCTCGCCGCCGCGGTGCGCACGCTGCACACCTCGCACGTGGCGCAGAAGGATCTGGAGGGGTGGAAGAACCCCGGCGTGGAGACCGTCCGCGGGCGCCTGGAGGAGGCCCTCGAGCCATATCTGAAGGCTCTCGAGGAGACGCTGAAGGGGTTGGGGCACGCCTTGAAGCCGGAGGACGTGGCGGAGAAGCTTCCGCTGGAAGACCTGCATGCTGCGACCTCAGGCCTGCAGTCCAGCATCGACAAGATACACTACGACATGATGAAAGGCCGCCTCGGCAACGTGGACTCGGTGTGGTACATGTACGTCGTCTTTGCCCACCTCATGATGGTGCTGTTCGGGGAGGAGCTGCTGCGGTACGGCGAGGCGATGCGCAACTTTGACTCCACGCGCTACACCTCTGCGTCGCGGCGGATGTGGGACTTCTTCATCTTTGAGTACTGGAATGATTTCTGGACGGAGCTGCCGAAGCGGCTCACGCTGGCCACGCCGCGTGACGTGCGTGTGGTGAAGGACGCGTTCAAGCTTGCCTGCGGCTACACCGTGGCGTCTGTCTTCACGCTCTACGTCGGCTACGACAGGGTGTTCTACTTTGGCATGGCCATCCTCATGGGCGTGGGGCTCCCGACGGCGGGTGACACGCTGATGGCGGGCATCCAGCGGGTGGCTGGGCTCGTCTTTGCCGCCTCCTTCGCGTACCTGATAAAGAAGCACAAGCGCTCCGAAGCTGAGGTCTACGCGCTGTCGCTGCTGCTTATCATGGTCTCGCTCTTCGCGCGGGTCTTCCCGGGCTACTTTCACTGCGCCTTCTACTGCGCGCTGCTCATCTCCTCCATGCTGCACATTGCCACCGTACCGCTGATGATGTTCTCCCGCGTGGTGTCCAGCTCGCTCGCTGTGATGTCGTACTACGTCATCGTCGTGTTTGTCTTTCCGATCGACACCATCAGGGTGCTGCACAACGCCGAGGTGTGGATTATGAACGGGGTCTCCGAGTACCTCTCCAGCCTGGTACGTCTCCTGCAGTTCCGCGTCGGCGACAAGGATGCCGAGGTGATGCAGGAGCTGCTCGCCGTAAAGGGGCGCAGCGGTGGCCTCTGGGTGGCCGTGCGTCAGCTGTTGCCCAAAGTCAAAACCGCCGGGCTGGAGCCCACCATCCGCGGCAAGCCGTACCCTGTCTACGAGCAGGAGGAGTTTGCCCAGGTGCTGCGTCGCCTCCTCTCCTCTCTCGACATCATGCTCCTGGGGCTGATGATTCTGCACCGGGAGCGTGTGGTGCCTGCGGCCGCGGAGTTGGAGGAGATGCTCGGCGCCACGATGAAGGTGGTGAAGGGCATCGAGCGGTACGGGGTGTACGTCATGCAGGACTTCGTCAACGCCGTGCAGCAGCCGGAGACGTGGTCGTACGTCGAGACGGTGGACCACTTCACCACCCTGCTGCGGCTGAACAACCAACTCAAGGACATCTTCTCCGTCGACCACGGCAAGATGCTGTCCGCGATTCGCGGCAAGGCGAATGAGCTTCACCTCAACAACCTGAAACTCTCGATGGCGTTCGCCAGCAACAGCAGCCCGACATTCCCCTTGCCGACGGAGGATATGCGGAGTGAGCCGAACCAGAGCAGCACCACCGCCTGCCCGTACGGGCTTGAGGGGGAGGGGAAGGCGCGAGAGGAGCTGACGGCCCCACGCAACGCGAGCTTCATGCTTCGCCCCGACGAGTTCACGATCAACCACGACATGAACATGAGCATCGCCGTCCTCGTGGGCATGGATCTCTTCTGCAGCGAACTGGTGAAGTCCATGCGGACCATGCAGCACATAAACCAGTTTGAGCTCAGCCGCCGCCAGTAGCCCTTGTGCCAGGTTGCGTGCGGCTTGGCCTCCGGCAAAGCAGACGCGTGTGTGTGTGAAGAGGGAAGCGGGGGGTTGCCAGTAGTGATTTATTTTGGCCTTTTTTATTCCTCTTTGTCGGTGCCACAGTTACCTTGGAACAGCTTCCCATATGCAGATATGCAAAGACAACAAGAGCAAAAAAGTTTTTGCACATGTGTGAAACAAAAACAAAAATGTGGAGGAAGAAGTGAAACTGAAAAATGGGGAAAATGGAAGGGGGAGGGGGGGAAAGTGTGTGACGAAGCGAGGAGGTGCGGCGCGCGCCAAGATGTGAAGAGGCGTACACATGCATACGCGCCTTTGCCGTTGGTTAATGGCATTAATAATAAAACCGAAGCTTCGACCTTTTGTGTGGGCGCGGTAGGCGACTGCGCCCCAGCCGATATCCGCCCCCTTTCACCGCACCCCGTCGGAGTGAGCGCCTGTTTTTTTTCTTTCCTCCGGCCCCGTGCGTGTGTGTGTGCATTGCCGCCTGTGACGTCGTTTACGCTTATTTCCTTTTTCTTTTTTACTGTGTGTGTGTGGCTGTGAAAGAGCGAAGAGTTCTCCTGCGGCGCGTCCATGCCGGCTGTCGTTGGCGGCCGCAGCTTGCAGCTCCGCCTCGCTGGTGCTGCGCTTGTTGCCGCCGCCGCCGCTGTTGTTGTAGTTGTGGGGGTCGTGGAGCCCATTGCGGCCGCTGCCGCAGCGCCGGGCGCCCCGCTCGCCGAGGTCGCGTTTGCGGCGTATAACCCCGGCAGCCGTGCCGCGAGTGGCGAGGAGGGCGGCGACTTCTGCTTCATCTCGCACGGCTGCTGGGGCGGGAAGTCCCCGAGGCAGCAGCGACAGCGGGAGGTTGCGGCACTCATCGCGCGGCTCATCGAGGACGCCGCGGGACGGCGGGACGAGCGCATTCGGTTTGTGGTGGCTGCCGGCGACAACTTCTACCCGCGCGGC